CAATCCCCCCGGGCCCTTCCCCGCCTCCCCCGGGCTCAGATCGCCGCAATTTGCGCGGCCCTTTGTGCCCAGGGAAGCTTTTCCCGGCGCTCCGGGAGCCCGACGAGCTCCCGGGGCTTTTGTGTCTGATTGCGGCGACCGGCAGGTTTTTGAGCTCCCGGAATGTAAAAAAAAACAAAACCTTTTTCCAAAAAAGAAAAAAAAAAAAAAGCACTAACCTCAGCGAAGGAGGAGAGGAAAGGGAAGGGAAGAAGGGGGAGAAAAGAGCTGATTTCAGCAGCTGCAGCTTTGCTGTATTTTTTCATCTTGCATCAGCAAGTCGGGAACACAAATAATCTGGTCTTACACGCTCCAGTGGTGCTGGGGCTGAAGAATTTCCCAGCCTCCACTGGCTGGAGCTCCCTCAGCATCCAGGGGCTGATGGTTCATTGCCTGGAGTTTTTATCCCTGGTTTTTGGTGTATTTAAGGCTGGGAGAGTGGCCTGGTTTTGGTTTATTTAAGGCTGGGGGAGTGGGGGATCATTTCCCAGAGTTTTTATCCCTGTTTTTGGTGTATTTAAGGCTGGGGGAGTGGGGGCTAATGGTTCACTTCCCAGAGTTTTTATCCCTGTCTTTTGGTGTATTTAAGGCTGGGGGAGTGGGGGGTGAGGGATCATTTCCCAGAGTTTTTATCCCTGTTTTTCCTGGGAGAGTGAGGGATCATTTCCCAGAGTTTCTCTATCCCTGTTTTTGGTGTATTTAAGGCTGGGGGATGGGGTGAGGGATCTTCCCAGCCCCTCCCAGGGTGTCTGTGCCCATCAGGGAGATATTTGGGCACAGCAGAGCCGCCTCTTTTCGGCTTTTGGGGTCGGGAATGAGCAGAACCGGCCCGGCTGGGTGTTGATTAAACGCCGAATTTGGGAACAAAACACTTCTTTTTTTAAAGCCTTCCCGGCCTTCGTTTAGCAGAGACAAAATGCCATCCGGAATGGATGTTTCCTTGATAAACAGCGGAGCAGCAGCAGCTCAACTTTCTCATTACTCCCTGTAACGAGTGCTCGGCTGTCGGGAACGGAGGAGGAGAAGGAGGAGGAGGAGGAGGGAAAAATTGCTCCTGGATCCAACAGCGGCTCCGGGAGCTGGTGGAGAGGAGCAGTGCTGGAGTTTGGGGGGCAGTGATGGAGTTTGAAGGGCAATGGTTGAGTTTGGGGGGCAATGGTGGAGTTTGGGGGGCAATGGTTGAGTTTGAGGGGCAATGGTGGATTTTGAAGGGCAAGGTTTGAATTTGGGGGGCAGTGGT